TCTACAATACGTCGGCTGCTTTTCCTAACAAGGCCAAGTTATTTTATGATAAGTTATGATTTTCGATAAAATGGAGAAAGGCAAAAATAATTTATTATGCATTAGAAAACCAAAAACTTAATTTGCGTTTTTCCTCATTTTTCTCAAAAATCTTCATAGAAAAGCTCCATCATAATATACTTGGTACTGTTAGCAAGAGCAGCTTACGTAGACTGAAAGAAACATGTTTCCGAATTTCCCGGCATCCTTTCAAATTTTCCACTATTTATTTAGAAACCCGAGAGTTGGAATGACTTTCCTAATCAAATATTATCTCTGAAGTTTCTTGTCATTGAAGACCCGCCGAGGTGTTGAAATTATAATAGATCAATTTTTCTTTCTGATGAGATTTTTTGTGAGCGAACGCGTTTACATAGGGAGCAGTAACGATTTTTTTTAAATTAACGCGGCAGAACTTCCAGACCAACCTAATAGGATAGTTAGGATGATTTCTGAAATCAAAAATTCTTTAGCGTTGTAAAAGGATCTTTGGAATGTGACAGATGAGCCCACTTTTCCTAAAATTTCGAAGCTATGGTCCCGCAAAAAAGGGAAGCACCCAGGACTGTTCGGAGTGCGAAAAGTTTCAAGAAAACTTTGGGAATTTGAGTTTTTGAGTCCCGCTAGGTGATTAACTCCGTTGACGGGAATCCTCTGGCTCAGACCGAAGATTAAATGCCGTCAGAAGACGGCGAATCGATGTGTTCAAGTTCGAGCTTCTAAAAAATAAGATCTACTAACTCGAAACTCTGCCTCAAAGTTCCTCAAAGGGGGTATGCAGTAATAGTCTGAGTGATTGCTGCACATTTCATCTGCAGTCCGAGTGTCGGTCCTGTTTGGAAGTGGCTACAACGAAAGGCGGGATATATAAACCTGCATATTGATTTCACCTACATCACTGTTGAACTCCTCCACAATCTCCATTTGAAAGAGCTCCGAGCTGCCTCGTCTTGGTAGTTTTCCTACTCGCTTGTGGTACTTTTGTATCTGGTTTTCTTCTTCATATTCCTTTGTAGATATGTGTCCAATCATTCCATCAGATTTATTCACATAAGAAAATAGTAGAAATGTCAGAATAACCAGTAGCAATAATGTGTGAGGATGCAACGTCATAGTAATACATGAGTGTCATCTACCAGCCTTTGATCCATGCGCAGCGCCGAGCTGATTATAACGGATTTCGCGCCTATGTGGAACTATTTGGCAGGTTTTGCAAGGAACATGAAAATTGCGCGGGGAAAGGAAAATAAAAAAAAAAATTGAAGAGATCTCAGTGGGTAACTATGTAGTTGAAGACCTCATCTCATTGCTTCATCACTCTCATCTATGGATCTTCGGACTCCCTAAAAAATAGGCGAAGTCGCTGGAATTCGTCCCAATCTTGCAAACCCTCAACCCCCCCCCCTCCTTAAGTTATTGGCAAGTTTCCAAGTTTATGGTAATCATATGCCCCCTTCTGTCATCTAAACAGGGACTAACACGTTGATACCGGTATGTATGAATCTGAACATGTTTCTGGCATGTAGTCGCCTGTTCAACTTCACATTATCTGAACGACTCTTTGGTCATGCGCTGGCTTTGCTCTTTTCTTCCTTGCTTGATTAAGACGTTTAGGCTCCTAACTAGATGATCATACTGTATCCTCTTTGGTACAAGATTTCAGTTTAGAGCGAACTATCGCGCGGTCATGCTTTCGCCGAAGACCAACACCAACGGGAACTCTGGTGAGTTTGAACAGTTTTCTAGGCTCGTTTTTCTCTTTTAAATATATTCTAATAGATCAGAGCAGACTGCAGCTGGCACTAGCTACCCAGCTAGTGCCAGGTGCACTCAGCTGTGGAATCTCTAATCCGAAATAATTTGGAATCTGAGCATCGTTGACCATTGTGCTCTACACAAAATCTTTTTCAGAACCTCCGGAAGCATGCACGAATTCGCCTCCATCTCTGCTTTCAATGGAAGATGCTAATGGAGAGAACTTCGGCAGTGACAGAAGCTTACCCGGGGAAATGGGCCATCTTCAACCAAGCCATAGTATCACCGGAACAGGTTCGTTAGCTTTCGGTTCTCTTCCATTGCCGTAGAGATGGCAAATGATGCGGCATTGCCATATGAGGGTAACTAGAGCCTAATCTCAGAAGAAGGCGGATGTTGCGGTCTGGCATCTGTCATGCGCTTAATGCGGATTCACTGAATCTTCCAATGGATGCACATGAATCCAGTGAAGGCTGAATCCTGCTCGCGTGCTAGGGCGAGTCGTCAACCGCACGGACTGGCCGTAGATTACGGAACACGCGCGGCGCTGCTGAACGTCACA